CAGGTATATATATATATATATATATATATATATATATATATATATATATATATTGATGATAAGTCAGAAGAATATAAATTAACCCCCTGCAAATAGGGCTAGTTTTTGATTGGCATGATTGCAGTGGCGGATCTAGGTGGTGGTGAGATCCGTTGGAAGCCATTTTTTTTGGTTGACAATAGATTAAGGTTTTAGATTATGTTACTGATAATTCTTTCTTCTTCTGAATTTTCCTTCTAGTTGAAGTGGTTATATATTTACATTTTGCAAGTCCTGGTTTCGATTCTCTTCCCAACCAATTCATTGTGCAATTTTTTTAGTTTACAACAACTATCAAAATTAATGCAATAGGAAAGAGTTGGATGAGATTCAAACCTTGAAACCCTATTATAACCATTGAAAGCCTGACCACTGTGGCATCTATTGGTTTTGGCACTTAATTCAATAAAGTAATATATATTATATTTATTGGGTTTAAGATTCCAAATCATGTTCTTCCTTTAAATTATACGATACTTGACAACAATGTCATTTGGTGAATATACGATTTATTCTTATAACAGAATTATATATGTTCAATATGAACAAATTTTAGGCATTGTTTTATTGTCATTTTTTTTTCAAAATACATTTTTATCTATCTTATTTTTAACCATATATTTTTCAATAAAAAATAATATTACACGCAAATTCAAAATATTTTTCTTATTTTTTACCTCACTTTCTCCATGAAATCATTATTTCAAAATGCATTTTTTGTTTAAAAAAAAAAAAGACATCAAACGGGCTCTTAATACTTTATTGCAGCTGACGGTCGACAATCAACGACTATCCGTGCTGACTCAAAATCCTAGATTCGCCACTGCATGATTGGATGTAATTATTGTAGTTTCAATTATTTAAGTCCGATTGGATCCTTTTGATAGCTTCAGTAAAAGTTTTGAGCTTTATTACATTATTAATAAAATTTCTTAGACCACTTTGAAAATAGTCCAAAATAGAACTTGCAGTTTAGTGAAATTAGGGAACAAAGTCCTAAACTTACTTGAAGGGTTAAGGGGATGCCCATGGCATAAGTGAATGCCCTCGTCGTCCAATACACATAAAGAGATCGCTTTTTATTGTTTGATTCCTCAACTTGATTCTTGATTTGGCTTTCAGGTTTCCACTCATTAATTGCTGTTCATACTTCTGGAGAATACCAAAGAAGATATGGGGTTGAAGCTTGAAGATTGAATATCAATATTTAAAGAAAAGAATTGGAGCAGCTTCTAAAGAATTCAGATCTAATCACACTTCAACTATGATTCCACAATCCTTTATATGATTAATTCAACATGTTATAACACGAATTTAAGTATATATTCTTGGGTCAAAACTTATTAAGAAAAAAAATTTATTGCACATGTTTTTACTTATTGTCTAACATTAGTCTTATCTTTTCACTTTGGATTTGTGAACACATCTTTTCAGTTCAGTGTTTATGAGTTAAGTTTGTATCTAATAACGCTAAAAAATAGGGTTCTTTAATACATTAACATTGTTCATGTAATATAAAAAGCCTCCTTGTGTATAAAGAAATATACAACTCTATTATGGATCTTTCCTATATTTTATGTACTTTATATATTCAGTTTTAATTGGATATTTAAAGAAAGTTCACCTTGACCTGCTATTTAGAGTGCACACTAAGCAATGGTCTATCGGTTGTCGAATTTTGGAGATTGATCGCTTAGACTCT